ATAATAATTTTATAGAACGTAAGTTATTTGAATTATTATATAATTAATTTATATAAATTTTTAATAAAAGTTAAATTTAAAATTATTTATTAAAAATATAGTTGGTAAGATATTTGTATTTTTATTTATTGTATTATTTATTATGTTATATCTTTAACAAATTTTAATTTAAAAATTATTTTAATAAATGGTTATATAGAACGTAAGTTATTTGAATTATTATATTATTAATTTATATAAAATTTTAATTAAATTTAAATTTAAAATGATTTAATGATAATATAGTTGGTAAATTACAGTATTTTTATTTATTGAGTTATTTAAATTTATTGTACCATAAAATCTTAACAAATTTAATTTAAAATTATTAAATAATTGAATATATAGAACGTAAGATATTCGAATTATATTATTTATTTATATATAATCTTTAATTAAATTTAAGTTTATAATTATTTATAATAATATAGTTAGTAAGTAATTTTTATTTTATGAAATCATTTAAATTGATATATTATTTATTCTTAATTAAATTTAAATCTAAAATTATTTAAAGAACGTAAGTTATTTGAATTATTTATCATAATTTATATAAGCTTTAATTTAAAATTATTTAACTATTAATTATATAGAAAGTAAGTTATTTATATTAAAAGTATCATATCATTTTTTATAAAATTATTAAATAAATTAAAAAATTATAAATATTTAATAATTGATTATTTAGAATGCAAGTTGTTTGAATTATTATTTAATTAATTATAAGCTTTAATTTAAATTCAATTTAAAATTATTTAATATAATATAGTTGGTAAATAATTTATTTAACATATCATTTAAATTTATTGTATTGATTATTTATATAAAGTTATTTAACTAACTTAAAATTTATTATTTAATAATTAATAATATAGAACGTAAGTCATTTGAATTATTATATTTATTATTTATTATAATATCTTTAATTAAATTTAAATTTAATAATTATTTAATAAAAATATAGTTGGTAAGCTATTTTATTTATTGATTTATTTGAATTTACTATATGATTTATTTATAAAATCTCTTAACTAAATTTATATTTTAGATTATTTTACAATTGATTATATTGAAAGTAAGTTATTTAAATAGATTATATCATTATTAATATAAAATCTTTAATTAAATATATATTTAAAATTTTAATAAATAATTATATAGAACGTAAGTTATTTGAATTATTATGTATAAATTATTATATAAAACTTTAAATAATTTAAATTTAATAAATTATTATATAGAACGTAAGTTATTTTATTTATTGTATCATTTCTTTTTATAAAAGCTTTAACTTAATTAAACTTAAAATTATTATAGAACGTAAGTTATTTGATATATTATATTATTTGTTTAAATAAAATTTTAATTAAAATATTTAAAATTATTTAATATTTGAATAAATAGAAGGTAGATTATTTGGTTTTGTTATATATTTTTTATAATAATTATTAACTAAATTTTTTAAACTATTTAATTATAATATAGCTAGTAAGTTATTTTATTTTATTGTATTATTTATTAAGTAATCTTTAATTAAAATTTAAATTATTTAATTATAATATAGTTAGTAAGTACTTTTATTTTATTATATTATTTATTAATATTAAATTTTTAATTAAATTTAAAGTTTTAAATTATTTAATTATAAATATAGTTGGTAAGTATTTTTATTTTATGGTATTATTTAATTATATTAATTAAATTTAAATTTAAAATTATTTAATAATTGATTATATAGAAAGTAAGTCATTTGAATTTATTATATATTTTTTATATTAAATATTTATTTATATTTATATTTAAATTATTTAATTATAATATAGCCAGTAAATTTTTTTATTTTATTATACTATTTATTAAATATTAAATCTTTAATTAAATTTAAATTTTAAATTATTTAATTATATTATAGTTGGTAAGTATTTTTATTTTATTGTATTATTTATTTATTTTAAATTTTTAATTAAATTTAAAATTTAAATTATTTAATTATAAAAATAGTCAGTAAGTATTTTTATTTATGTAATTATTCATATTAATTTTTATTTAATTTAAATTTAAAATTATTTAATAATTGATTATATAGAAAGTAAATTATTTTATTTATTGTATCAATTATTTATATAAAATCAGTTACCAAATTTAAATTTTTAATATTTTAATAATATAGTTGGTAAGTTATTTTTATTTATTGAATATTTGTATTTATTATATTATTTTTTTTTTTAATAAAAATTTTACTAAATTTTAAATTAATAATTATATAGAAGGTAGAAAATTTTTATTTTATTATATTATATTTATTTTTTATGAAATTTTTAAGTATTTATTTTTATAAAACTTAACTAAATTTTTGTTTTTAATATTTTTATAGTTAGTAAGTTATTTAAATTTTACTATATTATTACTTTTAATATTTTTAATATAATATAAATTATTTATTAACCAAAATTTAATTTGATTATAGCTGGTGAGTAATTTAACCTTTATTATATTTTATACTTTTAAGTATTTAACATTATATATATTTTTTTATTATAAAAATTCAATTACTAATAGTTGGTAAGTTATTTAATTTGCATTTTAATATTATTATATAATTTATATACTATTAAACTAAACAGTTATTTTTGAAATAAAAAAAATAAAATGATATTAGAAAGTAAGTATTTCAAATTATACTTTATAATGTTAGCAATAATTTGGTATCAAATAATATGTATTAAATATTATAAAGTTGAAAATTATTTAAGGGTTTTATTCTGCTATTTTAGTAATTGTATTATTATATTTACTTAATATATATTTTTTATAAAAAAAAAGCAATTCATTTAAAAAATTATTTAAGTCAAATTAATTTAAATTGGCATATAGCTATTAGTCCAAATGGAGAATATATCATTATATTTCATCATGGTAATTGTTGTTTATTATTAATTATATATTTTTTATTTAATTTAATCTTCATATATATTATATATATTGTAGAAAAGATGGAATATAAAATCATTAAATCTAATCAATATAATGAGATTGATAAAGTAAATTCATATAAATTTGATAATATTTTTGGAGAAAATAAATCTCAGTTAAAAGAAATTACAGATCCGAAATGGATGATAGCAATATCAAATATACAACAAAAATTTATTTTTGTTGCAATATCTTATGTAACGGAATTTGATATGTTAGCTAAAAAAGGTAAAGGAGTTTCTATACAACTTGAAACTCCAGAAATTATTATTAATGTTAATGAAGAAGCCACTATTGAGAATGATGAAAAATCCTTATCAAAAGCTGGTTTTAATCAATTAATAAATGGAAAAACTGTTATCTATAAAATTGCAATAGATTCATTGAATAAAGGTGAGCAAGAGGAAGAAATTATTGTTAAAAAAGTTGAAATATTTAAAAAAGAAAAAATCGGTGGTATTGTTTCTTTTGTTCATGGTGAATATAATTCTAGTAAAATAGCAAAAACAAATTGTTTTATTTTTAATGCTGGTGGAATCTATAATCTCTCAATTTGTGAAATCGATAATAATTGTTTGAAAACTTTTGAGCATTTTGATTATCCAAGAAGACTTATAATTGAATTAGATACTTTTTATAAGACGAAATCTTGTATTTTTCGAATTAAAAATTGCATTTTTGATCACTACTTTTATATCGAGCAGTATAGAGAAGGAATTCAAGTGATGCAATTATATGATTTAAGAACCATGCAAATACAACAAATTTTTAATATATATGAAGAAAAAAATTATTCAAGAAAATATAGCAAATCTGTATTGGCTATTTCAAAAAATAAGCAAATGATTGCCTTTTCTTCGGGATATGGAAAATTGGCTCTTTATTTAATAGAAAATGGTATAGAAATTTTTCGTAAAGATTTTGGAAGAAATACAAAGATAATTGCTTCCGACTTTAAGGATGATAACAAATTAATGATAATTATTAAAAAAGCAAATCAAAACAGTATAAGTATGTTAATTTGGCATTTATGTACAAATAAAATTCAACATTATGTCGATTTAAACGAAGTTGAAAATGAAGTTGAAGAAAGTATTTTATATATTGCAAAGATTCCTGGTAAATACGTATCGGTTAATAATGTTGGTAAAATATTATCAATATACGATAGCTTATTTAAAATAGATAATTTAAAAAAAGGAAAAGTAAATGATTTATTGCAATTTGAATTATATAGTGGTGGTAATATGTTATCACATGATATGAATAAATTAGAATTGGATGATCATATTGTTTTTCATCAAAATCTCGAAACAAATATAGCACGACCACTTAAAGATAATTTAGAACCATGGATAACCGATAATTATAAAAAGATATGGGTATATCTTGACCATGAAGAATCGATGCAGTTATATATCGGAAAATGTACTGTTCAAGTATGGCGTAAAATTGAGCAAAAAAAAAAATTTGTTCTTGAATATTTTTGGGCTAATGAAGATTATGAAAATGAACATACTTTACAAATATTAGAATTAAAAGTCTATGAAAGTGGTTTTTTGCTTGAATTAAAGCAACAAGATGAAAGGCAAGATCAAATTAAATGGTTATATAAAAATAATGAGAAACATGATGATTTAATAAGGCATGCTTGCGATGCCCTTGCACTTCTAAATTATCAAAGAAATAAATCAATTGGATATGAGAACCAACATGGTAATATTACGGCATTAATTTTATTATTATTTTTTTTTCTGTAAATAAATGCTAAATTCATGTATTTAAAAAAATAGTTTTTGAGGAAATTAAGTATAATATTTCTCATATGATTTGGAGATTTATTAGAAATTGTCCTGATAATTGG